TTTAAATCTGTTGGATAGGATGTGCGGAATAGATTTGTGCTTTATTTATGAAACGTATTATAAGTTTTAATGAATTTTTCGAGAGAGCGCTGGGTATCAATATTTTTTTCAATATAATGTAAATAATAAGTAATATTTATATTCAGGGTGGCCCAGGTTTCCGAAATAGTTCTATACTAGGTTTTTGGTTTGTGATTTTTTTTTATCAGAATATGGGGGCAGTGGTATCACAGATTTTAGAAATATTTTTGTAAACATACAGGGTGATCCAAACATATTTTCAAAGTACTGCATAACAGTGTATTCTTCAAAATTCAGCCTATCAACATTTGTAAACTTGTTTGTTATATATAGGGTGAGTCTAAACTAAATGTTGTATTTTTCTCTATTATTTTAAATGTGGATTATTTAACCTGTATTTTGTATCATAATCGAACAAAGTTTTATTTAGTCGCTTTGTTTTATTAACCACTTCCTCTATGTAAAATCTATATTTAATGGGAAAATTGTGTTTTTATTAAATATAAGACAATATTTCACATTCGCTCTTTCAATAGAAGGCTTTTATCATTATAAGCGTCAAGCCTGTCTACAGTTTTCTGTCACATAATAAAGGTAGCTTCATCGGAAAATTTTAGTTAAATGCACCAATTTTCATGAACTGTATTAAGCATATGCATTGCGAAATTCATTGATATAAATATTGATAAAGGGTATTGAAATAATTTTGTGAGTATATTGAGATATTTTCCTTTTAAATAATGTCAATATACCGGATGCGTCTCAAAAGTGACTTACCCTATAATTTTTTCAGATAAAAAAACGATATTTGGTATGTTAGTATATGACATCAATTAGGATTGAATAGAGTATTCAATTATTTTTGGTCACTTCCAGTTTCACCGGAAATGACTACAACTTTTGATTTTTAAATAGCACCCTCGGAATTTTCTTACTTTATTCGATAGAAAATGACACTCTGAATCGAATGACAATATAATATGTCACTAAATATCATATATCAGCTTTTGACATATTCGCTCAAAAACAAATTTTATTTTAAATTTCAATCGTTCTATTGAGGCCATGGCTGTGTTAAAAACACTAATATGTTATGACTATATGATATGTCATTCTATTCAGAGTGTCATTTTCTATCGAATAAAGTAAAAAAATACCGAGGATGTCATTTAAAAATCAAAAGTTGTAATAATTTCCTTTGAAGTGACCGAAAACAATTGAATATGTCATTCAATTCTAATTTGTCATATACTAATGTTAAATCCCGTTGTTTTACCTGAAATAATAAAAAAGTTATAGGGCTGAGCCACTTTTGAGACGCACCCGGTATTGAGTCATAAAAATAAAGTACAAATATCATAAGTTAATAAAAATCAGTAGCTAAAGATATTATTGTCAAAAATGATTTCTATTATTAACAGTAGCAGATTAAAATATGCACTTTATGATATAGAATTTGACAGTAAAATACCTAGTTAAAAAGTCGTTTAATTTTGTAAACCATATTTTGTGGACATAAAAAGAACTTTATATGATTTAGCATTATTATACGCCACTTTGAAAATATACCCTGGAAAAAGTATAAAATCGTATAATTTTACCAGCCGATATTGTCGATTTTGATATTATAAAACTTTTAATTTTTTAAAGCAATTCTTTTTACATTTTTCTTGGCCGCTTTTAAGTTTGCCGGATATTATAAACAGAATTTTTTTTTAAATAACAAAAATGTTATCTTCTAATTAAAAATTGTTTTTTAATTTTTTCATTACACAGGTAAATATGTGGTTTGTTTTTTCACTGATCTGTTATTTTAATATTTGTTAGAGGGAGTATAGCATAGGAGAGCTATACAGAGTGTC